GGTCTTTCCATCGATCCAATGGTCTAACTTCGTCCATCAGTCCAATGGTTATTCTTTCCATCGATCCTCTAGTTAGTCTGTCCATCGATCCAATGGTTGAATCCAGACTTGGTCGTTTCTGCCTTGATGTCTTCATTGGTCTTCTGGTTCTTCATCACTTGTTTGTTTTTCATTACTTTTTACATTTTGCATTGTGGGGTTTAACAAGATATATTTTCATAAACTGATCCTTTAATTCAAACTTTGAACTGCAGTTGATCCTATTATATACGAACTGATACTATGAGTTCACGGGAAGCAATGGCTATTGGTACTGATACCAAGCCACCTGTTCTGTTTCGCGGAGATTATAATCAGTGGAGAGATAGATTTCTGAATTTCATTGAGAGAGTGAAAGAAGGAAATCAGATTATGCAATCTTTGATAGAAGGTCCTGCTGTGTTCTACGGAGAGATAGTTGCTGATCTAGTAGAAGGCATACCTGCTCAGAAAGTAATCAAAGAAAAGCATCTATATTCCACTTAAGAAAAAGATAGAGCCCATGCTGATGTGCTTTGCAAGTCTTATATGATGCAAGCACTGACTAATGATATTTATACTAGTATTGACAGTCCTAAATCATCAGGTCATAGCATGTGGGTTCAAATTGAAATGATGATGATGGGTTCGAAAGTAGGAACTCAGCTGAAGATTACTAACTGCATTTCAGCATATGAAGAGTTCAAGGCTAAAGATGGTGAAAGTCTTGATGATGTTTATGATAGGCTTGCCAGACTGCTTAATGAGCTGACAAAGAATGGAATTTCTAAAACTACAATAGAGATAAATGTTAAGTTTCTTAACAATCTTCAATCAGAGTCGAAACCATTTGCTAATCATATCAGATTCAATAAGCAGTTATCTGATATTGATATTCATGAGATCTATGAAACTCTGAAACAGAATGAGCAAGATGTTTTAGAAATCTGAAATGCAAAGAAGAAATAGAAAAAAGTTGATGATCCTTTGGCTCTTATATCTGAGAGAAAGGAGAAGAAATTCAAAAGCAGATCTGGAAAGCTAGTTAAAGAAGTTAGCCAGTCAAGTGAATCTGAAAAAGAAGACAGTAACAGCTCAGATTCAGATTTTGAAATGTCAGAAATCAGACAGGCCATGGTAATGCTAACTAAAGCATTCCAGAAGAAATTCTCAAAAAGGCCACACTCGAACAAACAGAGATTCTCGTCAGGTTCAAAATATGAATTCAAAGACAAATTTGGCGAGAAGAAGAAATATGAAGAAAAGAGGTTGAGAAGAAGTATGAGAAAAAACCGGAAGAGAAGAAGAAGTTTAGCAAAGGTGTAGCTGATGAGAACACTAAGTGTTATAACTGTGGTAAGCTAGGCCACTTTGCCGTAAATTGTAGGAAGCCGGTAAATAGAGATACGGACTACTACAAGAATAAATTTCTTCTTTCCAAACAAAGAGATGACGGGAAAGCACTTATGGCTGAGGATGAACACTGGCTGAATCTGACTGATGAAGAAGAAGAAACTGAAGCTGTTGCACATGAGTGCTTGATGGCTAGAACTGATAAAGGTTCTTCAGGATAAGAAGAAGAACAGACTGCGGAAATGAATGAAGAGGTATTGGATCAATCATGCATTAAACAGATGCAAAAGATGATGCTCAAACTCCAATCTTTCCAGCAAGAATTAAAATCAGAAAAATTGCGTTCAAATAATTTTGAAAATCAATTAAAAACGCAAAAAGAAAAATACGTCAAATTATATATTGAAAATGCTGGAAACTTGGATTGGGCTAAGTCTTTGTTATCTGAGTCCAAATTATTTGATGAGAAATCCAATGTCTTAAAAGCCGAATTATCTGATTTGAAGGAAAAATATAAATCATTAGAATTAGTTAATGAAGAACAAATTGTTAA